CTGTTTGCTTGCATTTGGGAAAAGGAGTCTGTCCCAGACAACTGGAGAGAATCGGTGATAGTGCCCGTTTTCAAAAAAGGGGCGCGTAGTGAGTGTGGTAACCACAGGGGGATCATCTTGACCCCGGTCGTAAAGAGACTGTTGGCATCAATTGTGCTTCGTTGCTTTACGGTGGCCCGTGAGATACTGGCTCGAGAGCAGCAAGCAAGATTCCGGCCTCGTAGGGGTTGCGTTGACCAAATCTTCACACTTCGTCAGGTGCTAGAACAACGCCATACGTATCAGCGACCCACAATTCTAGTATTCCTGGATTTTCGAGGCGCATTCGACTCGGTTAATCGGTCTTTTCTTCTCCACATGCTTGGCCACCAAGGAATGCCCCGGAAGTTTGTAAACATAATACGTACTTTGTATTCTTACTTCTGGGCGTGTGAGGGTGTACGGAGAGCTCTCCAAAAGCCTCTGTACACAAAGCGGTGTCCGTCAGGGATACCCGCTTTCTCCATTCCTTTTTAACTTCGTAATCGATGAAATAATGAGACGAAAGCTGGAAGGTCACCTAAACCCTGGTGTTCAAGTAGCCTGTGAAGAAAACCTTGTCGATCTGGAATATGCAGGCGACATCGCTCTCATGCTCGAAGAGGAGGAGAAGGCGCAATTCTTGGATGAACTGACCAAAGTAATCCTGTCCTTCGGTATGCACTTTGCAAAGGCCTGCACGAAATTGCATGTAATCCAACTGTGTCGAGAGTGTTGTAAAGCCTCAAAGGAATGTCCAACACACGTCTCTCGTTGCGTGCCTGTAAGGAATGCGTAAGATCCTGGATCAACTCCGCTGATGAGGTATTACACCAAAGTGATATTAAATTGCGTTCATTTCAGTAACACTCGAGGGTTTTAAAAGCTTTCAAAAAATTTACCCAATTTAAGTTGCAAGTGGGATGAGCTCCAACCCGTCCGATATCTAGTCATTACCTTCACCCTGGTTTCCAAGGATCATCCAGCAGTTAAACAACAGTATCTACGTATGACGCACTGCTGTGCGCTGGCACCCGCTCCTAAGTTGGCCTGAGCACCGGAAGAAACAGTCGAATGCCCGTACACAAAGAAGATCGCGCTCAGACGCACTGGAGAAAACTGAACGCCCTGTATCCAGTGCAAATTCTGGCGCCTCGGGACGGAACGGTGGAATCCACGAGGTATCACTTCGAATGAACGACTACGTCGCGAACCTGCAACGGACCAGTGGGGTCGAGTCTGGTTTGTCAGAATATTGGCCAATCAAAACCCAGGATTCAATTCAGTGCATCCCATCTCGACACAGATTCAGGATTGACCTCTTGAAACACGCCGCGGTAACTCCATCAATATAGTTGTGGTAAGATGTTTTCCCTTCATTAAAGTTTATCATGAGGTGCCGTGTCATTTATTATGCTGCGATGAGTTTCGTAAGATCTATGCTGTGTAGGGTAATTTGGTCACCGATCCACGGCATGATACACAGGACCGAAGCTGTCGCCCAAGCTATCCCGGTCGGTTTTACTCTTTGCGTTTGGTGGCTGGAAATCGAAAACGAAAGAAGGGTGTAGCACTGCTTTTTAGGTTCTCAGTTTGTTGTAGTAAGCGTTCCAGTTCGTGGACTAACATAGTGTCTAATGATGGCATGAACTGGGTTCCTGAAGGAGCGTGTAAAACGTTTGGATGAAGGCCACTCCACGCAGAAAATACTCGAAAAGAGAACAATTATGCCCAGTCAAAGTGTGTGCTCTCGGCTTGAAAATCCTCTTACCATGTCCCCGCCGTAAGTTAGATGGGTAAATGGTGGAAACCTATAGGCCAAACCTTGTTCAAACAGGGCATAAGCTAGGATTACGTCCCCTCGGAGGTGTCTGTACTGCCAGGAAAACAGGTCAAGCACAGCGAGACGCGTTTCGTATACCTCGGATTTAAGGTAGGTAACCATTTTCGTAGCAGTTCACTGGATACACTCAACGAGGGTCACGTCATTCACGCATCCTGAGCAGAAAACTTGGGTGGCATATTCAAGGAGCGCTCTGACGTAGGCCCCATGAAATATTGGGGACTTCGCATGAGTAATACTAGAGAAGGTGAGCTTATTCATTTACAGAACGGGAAACGCCTTTTTGGCCGGTTTTTCATGGTGCAATGTGAAGGGCATGTTTGAGGAGAGCCAGATACCCTAATCGTTTTTGGCATCTATCCCCGTTATGTCTTCTCGTCCATTCTTACCATGCACGACAGGCGTTCGCTGGTCCTCTCCGAATGACATATGGACGCAATTTCTAATATTCGGAGGGAGTTACGATTCAACAACCACTGCTTCGCAGCGTCTACATACGTTTGAAGGGCACTGGCATTAGAACTCTAGGATTTCAAGTCGACCGTAAAAGTGGACACGGAGTTGCAAGAGCATCTAAAAGGTCCCAAAACGGAGCCCTGAGGAACTCCAATGCAGACCGATGCAAAAGAAGAGTAGGCCGAGCCTAGTTTTATTCGGAATGTTCTGCCTGATAAGAACGCCTTAATCCAGTACAGAATTTTCCCTTGAGTCCCGTGAGACTTGAGTTTATGGACTGGCCGGACTCGTGGGACTCGATCGAATGCTTTTGAGAAGCTGAAAATTATGGCATCCAATATGAGTCATTCATTCTTGGCTTGGGTTAAGCTGTCCATAAGTTCGAGCATGTTCGTCGCGCAAGAACGGTTTGGGAGAAATCTGTGTTGAATTGGAGGTGTCAAGTTTCTGGTAGTAAGGTGATCTAGGTTGGCTCGCTTCAGAATGCGTT